TGGTGACAGTGCAGCTAGAAAAGGGTTAAAATGCTGGAACTGAAGGCTGAGATCAAGAGCTACGGAAGGAGGGGCAACACTCTGAGAAAGAGGTAGAGGCCAGCAATGGAGCAACAAGCAATGAAGCCAGAAGGATTTTGTCCAAAGCATGAAAGGGAATTCCGCAGGGTCATTCCTCCCTCCAGGTAAGAGAGGGACAAGCAGACAGACAAGTAGACAAAGTGACAGGACTGTCAGAACAGGAAGCTCAATAAAAGGTGCACAGCACAGTATATACCTAAAAAAATAAGTGCTTCTTGCAGTTGCTTTTTCTTTAACTCTATGATGGGTGTGTGAACTTTTGCCTCATACACCTTTCACCTTCTGTAGTTCCGTAAAAGGTTCTTTTTCCCTGCCTCATCCCCTGGTTAAGTAACATCGCTGATGCTGGGCTCAGAGACGGCACTAGTAGTTATGGGTTTATACTGTACATGGTATGGAGATGGCAGCCAGTACTATACCAAAAGAAGGTAACTTGAGTTAGATGCAGAGCAGTAGAACATTTGAGGAGCGGCAATGTGTTTTGCTCAAAGTTTTTACACCCATGTTGGCTAACAGTAGTAGCAAGACTCTTTTAGATGATGTCAAGGTTGTGCATAACAACCTGAACCACTTTGGCACAGAGGAAGCCCATAGATACCTTTAGGTTTTCTTCTACGCGTGAATTGAGAATTGGGTCCCGAAAACTTCACTGATTCCACAAACAACTTCTGAGGGTTCTGCAGCATCAGAAGAACTTGCTTCCATCTCTGCTACAAAGGAAACCAGAGAACCCAGTGAAAAACAACATTACAATTATATCTGTCTTCCTCCCACTTTTGTTGGGCACAAGGCATGTTTTTGGTGGAGCCAGAGATACATGATGGGATGAAAAAAAAATCCGCATCATTCTTTCCCCCCTCTTGTCCAGACATTAAATCAGTGCTGGAGTTACAGGAAATCTACACGCTCTTTATCCTTCCAGTTGGAATCGAAACACGAGTGTAAGAAATGTGGTGTTCAACAACCCCATAACCTTTTTTTCTGGGTTAAAACTCATGTAAAAACTAAACGTAATTGGCCGTTGAATCTATCTTTTGGGTTGCCACACAGTCAGATAATCAAAGGGTAAAAAGCACTACTTGTGCTAACTGAATACAGGGCAAATTTTACTGACCCGATATCGCCTTTAAAATCGTACCAGATACCAGGACCTATAGAAAAGTAACTTTTCAATAAACAAGTTAATACCTGACAGTGAACTTGTCAGGCATCCAAGTTCCTGCTCCGGAACCTGGGTTACTGTGCAATCTGGGTTACTAAAAGCTCAGGTTGTCTGTCTTGCAGTTTGCAGACAGCATGGCTGTTCTAGGTGATGCTTCCGAAGCTGAAGGGCACAAATCTCTCCTGCTTGGGTTTCGTCCAGGTAAAACCAGCAGGTCTGTTTGACCACAGCTTATATATAACACAAAACAATAAAGGAAAATGTTGTCTGTCTTCACCCCCTTGAAATATTGATTGAAACATTGACATTTTGCTGCTGTAGTTAGGCTAGCTTTTACGAGTTAACAATGACACTTTTGCTTGAAATACCCAGGAGTCTAGAGCAGAAATTACAGTTTCGAGCTTTAAATGTTGCAGATTTCTCATGCACATAATCACGTTAGTTTTTCCTGGGCGACACTGTATTTTGATTTATTGTCTAGATTACGTGGGTGCCGTAGGACCAGAGGTGAACATCAGCTGGTATTTCCACCGGCTCTGGTGTGTTTTAGAGTAAAAGAAAATTTTACAAGAATACCGCTCTAAAATGGTGTATCTGAGCTAGAAATAGCAGCTGAAAAATGAATCACACTCGTAAATCAGGGTTTGCTCAGAAACGCCTGGCGAGGTGAGGGACATGAAGAGCTTCTAAACGCTGGGAGCAATAAATGGTAATTCCTAGGAGTTCGCAATTGCTGCCAATCAAAAGGGCTGGGAAGGCAGCCCCAA